TTGCAATCTTCTAGGCACTGAAAGCGGTTACGTAACTCGAGTTGAAAGGTTTCGGGATTCTGGATTAGAGCACGAGGGGGACGGAGCGTTGACTTCTTTAGACGAGACCTCTTTAACTTAACGTTTAGGTTCAGTGTACCTTTAACCATTCGGTGATCACTGCCAGTTTTCATCCTTGCGATCAGTGAGACATCACTGAACAGTTACCGTCTCGTCTTCATAATAAAGTCAATCTCATTTTTTATCGTACTGTCGGGCCTCGACCAGGTCCACTTTCTGTGGAGCCGCTTCAGGAAAAAAGAGTTCATTATAAACAGTCCCTCCTTCTCCATGAAGTCGGCCAGCTGCTGGCCCCTTGTGTTCCGTTGCCCTAACCCAAATTTACCTATCGACAGCTCACGTTTCTTCCTTTTGCTTAGTTTTGCGTTGAAGTCTCCCATTAACACCGTATAGTGGTTTTTATAAGAATGCATGGCTCTAGAAATATCATAGAGAATATCTAAAAATGTAATAGATGTTGGTGCGTAGACCTGTATGACCTTGGATACCGTTTGGTGATTCTGAATATGAGGTACGCAACCTTCGTCGACACACTACCAATCTTTACAAGTTTGTTAACGAGAGACTTGTGGACTATAAATCCAACACCTCCTTGGGACAGAATGGTCGCCCTCCCGGTGATAGAACAAGCTGCCGGATTCAAAAATCACCGTGTCCTTCTCCTCTCTTCGGACCGCGGATGATCCTTTAATATTCAAGCGCTACTTGTCTATCTCTTCTTCCAGCTCCAGGATCTTCTTGGTAGTCCTCAGGGTGCGTCCGTTGTTTGTTGCCAAGTCGAATCGTCTTAGGTGGCAATCGACCCTTCACCGGAGATTCTTAGCACCCCTATCCCGCCTTTACCATGTTCGCCACCTAGCCAGGAATAGCGCGGCCGCCGTGGAACTGGGGGCCGTTTACTTGTGTCGTTGCTCGTGGGGGGGTATTTCCATAGTTGCCACGCTTTACGAGTGGGTTGGCAACTGCAGTTTTTTTTGTTGTACAGTTGATGTTATAAGGAAGATGCTATAGAAGCTGCTGCCCATCTTCTGCCGCCTTCCCTCTGTCGCCTTTTACGACACCCACGGGGATTCTTAACCGCCACTGCACTTAACGGAAACGGATGCAAAATATAAAAACTTGAATGCGAGCCCGTGTGTACTCAAAAATATTAGTATTCCTACACCCCTTGGAAGGGAAGAACTTTAAAGATGTTCCTTTAACTGATTCTGAAGAGCTAGTTTAAGAATTGGTACCCACATGTTAAACATAATATTACGTTTTTAATTAAATACTTTACTGATAATAAATAATAATACAAATATGATAAAGATGTTTTATTTTCTCCGAACATGAAATACAGTAACATAGGAAATCCAAATCGAATGAGTCTCATAACGTTAAGCAAGGTCCGAGACACAATACATATAAATAAGCCTAAAATACAAATTTTTATCGGTACCGAAATTATTTCGGTAAAGGTATTAGCAAAATATAGGTATAACGATACCGTAAAAAAATATAGGTATAATTCTTTTTTTAACGGTACCACAACCGTAATTCTCAACCGTTTTGGTTCTACCTTTAAATTGAAGCTGTATCGTAATTCTATACCGGTACCATACCCTTATACCTTTACCGCTTTCAACCCCTGTTCTGCAGGCTGCCGCCGTGTTTGGCACTATAAATCAGCTGATTGGGATAGGATGCGGTCTTTCTTTGCATCCTACCCTTGATTGGGTTTGCTTCTCGCCGGATGATCTGTCGATTCTGTCGCTGATGTGGTACTTCAGGGTATGGAACTTTATTTCTTTCCTCTGTGGTGCCCATCGGAGGCGAATCTCAGGCATGGTTTGGTCGCTCCTGTAAAATAGTATCATGCTATAAGCATGATGCTATTTTGCAGGAGCGAACGCATCAACCTCCCGGTATGTAAACACTAGCGCTCTAAAAAGAAAGTATAATTCAGCTTCCAGGTCTTTCAAAAGAGTCATTGCCAAGGCAAAGTCAGAGCACATAGGCAGAATTGGCGAGAAACTAGTTCGCCTTCCTTCTGGAACCTGTGAATTCTGGTCTCTCGCCAAGGCTGTCCAAGGGTCCAAGTCCAATTTCTGTCAGCCATCTCTTCAGTGGAGCATCAAGGTCGTTGTAGACGGTGCAAGCAACGATTATAAGCATATTAATGCTGGTGTTCCACACGGCTGCGTGATAGCACCAACGCTGTTTCTTCTGCACATCATTGATATATTGCAAACCGGCAACATTCATTGCTATGCAGATGACAGTACTGGTGATGCTCTGTACACCAGCCGTGCTAATATTTCTCGGGATAACGTCTGTAAGTACCGGGACAAACTTGTGTCTGAAGTTTGCTGAACAAAGTCTCGGATTGGGGGCGACTAAATCTAGTCCAGTTTAACCCTCAGAAGACATAAGTTTGCGCGTTAACCGCTAATAAGAACCCCTTTGTCGTATCTCCTCAGTTTCAAAGCACTCCCCTTGTTGCCTCAGCCAGTATCGGAATCCTCGGCATCGACATATCGAGTGACATTCAGTTTCGTGGTCACTTGGAAGAGAAGGCCAAATTGGCCTCTAAAAAGCTTAGCATGCTCAACAGAGCGGAACAGTATTTCATTCCGATACACCGCCTGCAACTTTACAAGGCACAGGTTCGGCTGCACATGGAATACTGTTTCCATCTCTGTGCTGGGGATCCCCAGTGCCAGCTCCTTCCTCTTGACTGCATCCAGCGCAGAGCGGCTCGAATCGTCGACGACCGAGTGCTTTCCGATCGGCTCGATTCACTGGCGCTGAGAAGAGATGTTGCATCTCTTTGCGTATTTTATCACATCTATGACGGGGAGTGCTCTGAGCTCTGAGAATTGTTAGAATAAATCCCAGCCGCCAAATTTCATGAACGCACTACGCGGCAAACCTCCAGATACCATCCACACCAGCTGGATGCTTGGCAGTCCACCACTGTACGTTTTACAAGGAGTTTTCTTCCGTGTACGAAGGTCCTGGGGACCTTCAAGAAAAGAACTTACTCCTTTCTAAAGAGCCGGCAACGCACCTGCAATTGCCCTGGTGTTGCGGATGTTCATGGGCGGCGGAAGTCACTTAACATCAGGTGAACCGTATGCTTGTTTGCCCCCTCTTCTAAAAAAAACCAGACTTTATAGATATCTGATCTGATCGAATCTGTAGTAAAATTAAATCCCGAATCCACATAGTATTGTCTGCCCTACTCCTATAGTATTTTTTTAAAGCCGTAGGCAGGGAAGGAGAGCAGCCCTCGCCCGGCATAGCAAATCGCAGGCACCTGTGCAAGCCGCAGTGTGCTTATTATTATATTATATATTATGTTTATAATTTAAAATAATTATAAAAGCTAATATTTTGGTGTTTTGTTGAGTGCAAGAGCGAGCGAAGTGAGCTAGGACTTGGGGCACCCCGAATTGGACAGGTTAGGTTAGAAGGGGATAGACGGGGTCGAGCGAGCGAGCGAAGTGAGCAAATAGACCCCGCCACCCCTTTCGTGATTATTTTTTTGTAAACCACTCAGAAAGAAGAAGACCAAGGCTGCGTGCTATCGCCAATGCTGTTTCTTCTGCATATCAATGATATGTTGTAAACCCGTAACATTCATTGCTATGCAGATGACAGCACTGGTGATGCTCTGTACACCGGCCGTGCCAATATTTCTTGGGAAAACGTCTCCGAGTACCAGGACAAACTTGTGTCTGAAGTTGAGTCTTTGCTGAACAGAGGCTCGGATTGGGGGCGACTAAATCTAGTTCAGTTTAACCCCCAGAAGACACAAGTTTGCGCATTAACCGCTAAAAAGAACTCCTTTGTTGTATCTCCCCAGTTTCATGGCACTCCCCTTGTAGCCTCAGCCAGTATCGGTATCCTCGGCGTCGACATATCGAGTGACGTGCAGTTTCGTGGTCACTTGGAAGAGAATGCCAAATTGGCCCCTAAAAAGCTTGACATGCTCAGCAGAGCAGGACAGTATTTCATGCCGGCACACCGCCTGCAACTTTACAAGGCGCAGGTTCGGCCGCACATGGAATACTGCTCCCATCTCTGGGCTGGGGCTCCCCAGTATCAGCTCCTTTCACTTGACTGCATCCAGCGCAGAGTGGCTCGTATCGTCGACAACCGAGTGCTTTCCGATCGGCTCGATTCACTGGCGCTGGCGCGCATTTTCTTTCGCATATACCATTGGGAGTGCTCTGAGGAATTGTTCGGATCGATCTTAGCCATCAAATTTCGTGAATGCACTAAACGTCCCGATACCATCAACACGATCTGGATGCTTGGCGGTCCACCACTGTATGTATGTTTCACAAGGAGTTTTCTTCCGCATACAACCTCTCTGTGGAATAGTTTACCACCGGTGATTTTCCAGACCGATACAACCTAGGGACCGTCAAGAAAAGAGGAGACCTTTCTAAAGGGCCGGCAACACACCTAAAATTCCCCTGGTGTTGATCATGGGCGGTGGTAGTCACTTAACATCAGGTGAGCCGCATGCTCGTTTGCCCCCTCTTCTATAAAAAAAAAGTAGGAGCCCCGCGAAGCAGGCCTCCATCGAGCGGGATTCCCTTGGCTGCGCTATGTGGTGCTTCCCTCCCCCAACTTTCTCCCCCTATAAATCAGGTTTATAGTCTAAAACATAACCTCAAAATGAGATTTTTAAAAATTTATAAAAAAAAACTAAGCATGTCCGGCAGGAGGTGGAAATGGGGGGCGACTCTACAACTCTGTCCCCCAAATTCCTGCCAAACAATTCTAAATTTCAACCAAAAAAATGTCATATTCATTATGTTACCTAGGGAATAGGGATTCAGATTTAACAATATAGAAAATGTCAGATGAAATTTCAAATAAAATGGAATGCACCGAACAAACGACATTATTTTGACACTGCTTAAAAAATTAAATAACATACTCACTATTGTATGGAGTATACCTATCTGATAATAAACTCTCCAGATTATATCCTATGATACCAACTACTGCTGCGATTGGTAAAGTAATGTATGGAGCGTTTGTACGTAAAAATTGCATTATTATAGGCCACATCTGAAATTAAATATATATAAATTTACAACTATCATACATACTTCAACAGTTTTTGTAAGTACAGGATGAACACAGAGATTCATAAATTTGCACCAGTGACGATAAATTGAAATTTTTGTCCTTATTCACCACACATGACCACTGTGGGATACACTCTCAGACCATCAAATTTATAAATGTTAAACTTCTTATCAAACTGAAAAAGACTACTGGTTTACACATAAACCTAAAACCATGTTAGTTGTTAATGCTTTCAGATGCATAATAAAACAGTGTTGAGCATTCAAGGTGGTAGAGTCACATTGTAGCTATATTCTGGTTTAGGCACAAATAGGTCAGGTCCGGGAAGGAGAATACCAGAGTAAAAATACAGCTTGCAAAATAAAAAAATATGTAAAATAATGAACACAAAAATATAATATAGCAATATTTAACCTTTTTCTAAAAGGTAATTTGAATAACATCTACTTAATTTTTTATATCTTCTGTTCTTCCACTATTACGCGTTTTCTTTTCTTTGCTTTTGTGTGCGGTTTTCTCTTGGCTAATATGTTTGAGTTGCCAAACTTATTTAACAGTACACTGTAAGCTCAGAAGCCTACTATGGTAGAGAAACTGCGAATTGGGGTGGAAATACTGAATATGTTGTATCTAGTGTTTATATATTCAAATCCCAACCCCTTTTACAATTTTAACATTGAATAAAAATTATCCAACAAACAAAACAGTTTATTCAAAAGTCTTAAAACACATTTCACCCGCAAAGTTAAAAATAAAAAATTAAGAAAGATAAGGTTATCGGCCATTTTCATAACAACCGCTATAAAATATACTTACTGAATTATTTTCTAACGACTTCAAATTTTTGTTTTAATTCTAATGATATAAAATGAAATATGCAAAAAAAAATATTATTTACGATTGCGATCATCATAACATACCATAGATAATAAATATGTAGCAAGCTATAACATACGAAATGAAAATCAGAGCCAGGAGCCAGAGCAGAGAAATGAAAATATAGATAAATACACAGCCATAGAGTAGAGTAATATATACAGACAGCACAGACTTTCCGTATATACACTCTTATCTATGGCACAAACTAGACACGGACTTACGTTAGTACTCGTTAGTACTCTTATCAGCGTAGACAGAGAAACCTATAGACAAATTGACGTCTTCTTTCGCATTCGCACACGAAAAAGATAGATTTATGCATACGTCTTGCATAGAAATGAGATAGAGTGGTGTGATTGTCCCTTTCTCCATGCCGGTTTTTTTGTTTAGCAAACTCTACAGTTTGGTAAACAACTTTAACAGCGTAGCGATTTAAGGAGTTTACAAGTTGGTTTAAGTGAGAAATAAGTGTTTTGTGAGCTTAAGATTGGTGAATGTTGGTAAGTTCAGTTCTTAGAACAGTTAAAATTTTTATCTAAATGTGTTTAAAAGTCATAAAGATTATTGTATAACCTAAAAATTCGTTATCGTCCTTTCTTACTCGAGGCCACGCCGATCATTAGTCTATAGGTTTCTCTGTCTACGCTTATTAGTTTCTACACGGACTAGACTCATAGTATCTTTTATTATTATAACTGGCTTTACGGCTATGGGTTCTAGCTCTTCTGAGCCTATAATTTATTTTGGAATGTTCATTATTATATTCTCTTTCTTCACAACATGCTGATGCATCACATTGCGACGCCCTTCGGAGATTTTGACGACAGCTCAACCCAGCGGACGGTTGATGACGACAGTCACTCAAGTTCATGAGGCGCCCAAGCGATCAAAATTACTCGAGGTTTATATCGACATCAAAGCACTTGTTTCGTTGTTTTTTCTAATAGTTCACACGCGCGGACACTTAATTCACAAAATCGCATCAATTTTTCGAATCAAAATCCACTTCAAACCATTATTTAAGCTATGGAGTGTAGAAGTAAGGAGTACCAACTCCCATAGTAGAATAGTTGAAAAAGTGGCCATCTGTAAGCAGTAAATAACAGTTCAAAAACTTTCCACAACAGCGCTGGAATAGCTACTGGGATGAAATGAACTTAGCAGTTTTTTTTTTTTTTTTATAGGCTAGGGTGACAAACGAGCACACAGTCCACCTGATGGTAAGTGGTTGCTGTGGCCCATAGACATCTACATCTATCCTCGATTACAAATCAAAATGCAGATGCGTTGTCACCAGTGAGGACTAAGATGGAATGCCTCGTTTCCAGTAAAAAGGGTCTCCGGTTCTCTACACTCACCATACGAAATACAGCAGCATTAAGCTACTATTTCACGCTGGTATTCTGTGAGAGCGTGGTCCTTCCCCGGTCGAGCCGACCCATTCGTGCTACAGCTATACTACTAATATAGCAGTTATCGACGGTTTAAGTGTGCTGGTAAACTGCTCAGTAACTCTAAAATCTAAAACAACTTTATTTAGTAAATATAACCTCGTAAAAGTCATCTATCCCACTTATGTTTTTCGGTGCGTTCTTTAAAATTTACCCCGTAGTGGCGCCACACTTATTTAACGGTTTTCTATGAACACTTTTTAATACACAGTCTGTACTCCTTACTTCTACACTCCATAATTTAAGCGACAAAATGGAACGACAATCCGTCTACGACCAAGCTCCCGCCAAAACTCCACTAGACTCATAGTTTCCGTATATACACCACAGAGTACGTTTTATAAACTGGAAATATACACTCTTATCTATGACTTATAGATGTATATAAAATTTAAATTTATATACGTCCATGAAGATTAGAGAACAGGTGAACGATCGCCGTAGAAAATAGTGTCCCAGAAATATGGACACCATAAGTGAGGCGTTGCGATCGCTAAGTTCGGTTAATAAAAGTCATTTTCAGTCTATTTTTTCAATCAGATGCTAAACCACTTGCACATCCACGCACAATAAGATATTTTTCCATTTTTGAATGTTTCTTTTTGTCAAAAATTACAAAATTACGGAGCCTGAAAATTTTCTCACCAATGCCGCGGAGAAAATTTGTACATTATTCAACTAACTTCATCTACTTGTACTCATAAACAGCTAACTTCGCAGTCACTACTCACCGACATCAGCGCCGCTATAAATTCTACAATTTTCAAGGACAGGCGGGCTACGCTTTAGTACGTAGTGATCGTTCTCCTGTTCTCTAACCTTCATGTATACGTCTATGACTAGACTAGAGACTACCACAGTAGGGAAGGTGCATATTTTTTTTAATTTATTTATTACACAAAAATACAGTCGGTTATTCTTTATACAACTTTCGCCAAACTGCAGGGCAGTTTGTTAGCGAATACATCACCATCTTACATTTTATATACCTGCTGTCCTTAAGAATCTAAAATACACATAAACTGTAATTTAAAATGCAATCCTTAAAAACTTAAAAATGGGAAAATTAAATTTAAACTAATTTAAAAGATTTAAAATAATTAAAACTTATTTTAAATCTTTTAAATTAAACACATTAAAAATAACAAATTAATTTAAAACTATAACTTTAAGACAATATTAATTATTATACATATAATTATCCAGCAACCACGCTTTTAACTTCTTTTTAAATATTTCTTTATTACCGCATTCGTTTTCAGAAAGTATCTCATTGAAAATACGTGGTACTATAATTATGACTGTGGTACTATAATCATAGATATTTTCTCGTCCTCTTGCCGTAATAATTATTAACTCTATGCTCAACGTGTTTCTTTCGCGTAGTAATATTTTTGTTAAACGTTCGAAATGTTTTAAACTCTAGAGAATTAAATTGATCTATTGCAATTAGGTACTTAAGTTTTACATGCACAGGTAATATTCTAAGATTTTTAAATAAATTACTACAATTTCCGTCTATATTATATTTTTTCTTTGTTTTTTCATCAATAAACAATTTTATTAATCTAATTTGCAACTTAAGAATTTTATCTGTATATGTTTGAAAAGTACATCCATATGCAATTAGTCCATAACTCAGGACTGAATCAGCTAGTGCATAGTAAAACATATATAAAATTGACCTACTTACTGTAAGTTTTAAGTTAAGCCTAGATAATATTATGGATCTTAACTTATCACAGACAATGTCAATATGTAATTTACAACTAAAACTACAGTCTACTGTTAGCCCTAAGTACTTATAACTATTCACAAATTCTACGGTTTTACATTCGCATCGTTCCAGTTTATTATGTAAGCACTCGTACGAATGACCAATGATGTTAATTTCCTCACTAGGTTTTCTTATATAAGGAGAGTGTAGAAGTATACACTTTGTTTTAGATATGTTAAGTATAATGCCGTTGTCATGTGCCCATTTTAGAATGAAATCATCCTGCAACCTCTCCTCAATAATTTTAACATCCCTGTTAGCCTACATCAGGCACGTGTCATCGGCGTACATATATGTGCAACAATGTTTTACAACGTTATATATGCTATTCACGTGCATGATGTACCCAACAGGTCCGAATACGGAGCCGGTTGGCACACCCAATGTTACGTCGGCTTCTTCCCCAGTAGTTCCGGTGATCATAGTGTGTATTTTTCGATTCCTCAGGTAATTGCAGAACCATTTGTTCATTGGGCCTCGAATCCTACACTCTTGCATTGCTTCAGGAAGCATTTCGTGATCCAACGTGTCGAACGCTTTTTTGAAATCGATGAACAATACAATGAAATAATTTTTATTGTTTAGTTTATCATTAACATCATCGGCAAATCGTGATAGTACGGTAGATGTACTGTATGTTTTCCTAAACCCATGCTGTGCTGTAGATATTATATGAGTTTTTTCCAAAAACGTGCTAATTCGCCTAACTATTATTTTTTCAACTATTTTATTTATTACTGACAATATAGCAATCGGCCTATAATTTGAATATTCTAAATGATTACCTTGTTTAAATATTGGACGAATAATTGTCTTTTTTAAGTAATTTGGATATGCACCGTTTTGCACGCACATATTCACTTTGCAAGCAACGGGCTGATATCTTTCTTTACATACTTTAAATCCTTTACTCTTATTTTATCTACATCCGGTGATTTATGAAAGTCTAATTTATCTATAATTTTTCCAATTTCGTTCGATGATACTGCTTTGTAACGGAAAGGTACGTTACTCGTGTAGTCGTCTAGTATAGGTGGTACGATCTAAAATTTTATAATTACAATAATGTTTTATTTTTCCAATTTCCTCTGTAAATGTTTTAGCGAAATTTGAACATATATTAGTCACCGTATCTGTCTTTCCTAAATATTTCATAACAACACTATCTAAATTATTATTATTGTTTCCCAACCAACCATTAACGATTTCCCAGACTTTCCTATAATCTCCTTTACAATTTAAAATTTCATATTTTCTAGATTTGTTTGTCGCTAAATTTATTAGTTTATTTGTTTTGTTTCTGTGCCGCGTGTATTCTAGCCTATAATTCATATTTTTGGGATTAGCCCTCCACTTACTAAATAAATAATCTCTTCGGTCTATCATAATTTTTAATGTATGACTAATCCACCGCTGTGTTGCTCGTTTATTTCTGCTTTTTTTTATATAGCTATTATGGACTCCACATAAATATTTTTAAACAAAATACGTAACCTATCGTAAATTAATAACGGGCAATTAAGTATTAATAATTAATTCCAATTTATCTCTTTTAATTTTTCTTTAACTAATTTATCCTTTAAAACTTCAATATAATTATCACTATTGCACTTCGTTTCGTATGGATCGAACGCTAAATTAACGCCTACCATATAATGATCCGATAACTTACACGTGAGCATGTGTGCGTTAGCGCGCGCACGGCGTCGCACCCACACATGGTCGATGCATGTCGCGGTTAGAACACCGGCTTACACTCTTGTGCATTCATTGATAACGCATTGCAATCCTCGTTCACACAACGTGTTTTTGTACTTTTCCACGATGCTGCATTTTTCCATTATATTTATATTTGTATCCCCAATGATGATGACATCTTGTTTATTTGGTATTTGCTCCAGTAGTAGTTTTAATTCTTCTATAAAAGATAGTTTATTAGTATTAGGTGGTCTATATAATGCTATAATGTGAATGTCTCTTGTTGCTGCTTTTATTAGGCAGTGTAATATTTCTATAGCACGCGCTCGTATATAATTACATTTTTCTATATTTAATTCATTTTTACTGTATATTAATAATCCACCACCTCGACATTTTTCTCTAGTATATACAAACATCTCATATCCGCCTATTTGGTATAGCTCTATTTCTTCTCGTTTAACATTGATTTCACTTAATATAATCTCAATAATATATATAAATTACGTGTCACGTTGTTTGTCCGCAATGGACTCCTAAACTACTTAACCAATTTTAATCAAATTTGCACACCGTGTGCAGTTTAGTCCAACTTGAGAGATAGGATAGTTTTTTTTGCGAATTTAAGGATTTTAATAGGACATGACAAAGGGTCGTCAGAAAGGGCAGAACAACGTCTGCCTGGCAAGCTAGTACTATCTATTTTATATTCACAACTTCCTAAAAGTATTAACAATTCGTTATAGTTCTTTCTTAACGATCTAATATTTATATGTATTATTCGCAATTCGTTTATTGTTTTCTTCATATACGTACTCCATTTATATATATCCGTAAATATTTTGTATTCTATATTACTTTCGAAACAGGATAATATATCGTTGAATTTTAGTTATGTTATAAAAAATCACGTAGTGTAGTCACGCAATATTAAATATTGTGTTATTGTTATTCCTTGCTACAGGCATTATTTATAGTTCATAAAAGATATCTGGATCTCTGCATCAGATCGTACATTTACAATTTTTCCGTTATCCTCCTTTTTAACCAAAATTCGAAGGTTCTGCACCCATATATACTTATATTTCCCCTTTAATAATGTATTGCAAAACAACTGCTTCATCTGTTTGGTTAAACATTCATTTATATACACACGTTTACTGCTATTATTTTGTAATATATCATTGTTACACAATTGGTGTTTTTTTCGCATAATCCATTCGTTTCTGTTTGTCTTCGCACGGAACGTCACGATAATAGTTCGTGGGTAATTACCATGCTGTTTTTCACGAGCTACCCTCCGCGCCTCTTCAATATGATCAGGATTTAAATTTAATTTTTTAGCAATTACACGCACAATCTGATTTGTGTCTTCATCTTTTTTATTCTCTAATCCTATAATTTCTATGTTTTTTCAACTTCTTTTAACTCCATATAAGCTACCCTTTCCTGTAGTGCTTCATTGACTTTTTGCAGATAAACGTTTTTATTTTCTAAATCTTTTATCTTTTTTTCGGCTAGACTAAAGAAACTAGACTCCGACACCGTGCGTGCGTTTGAAATGGAGCATCGTAGTTCTGAGTTACCTTCATTTGATTTATTAGCATCCTTTGTGCGAGACCAAATTAAAGTGATACAGCGCTCCTTGAACGTTAAACAAGAAGTTAAGAAAGGTGTCGACCGCAGACAGACTCCATCATTTAAAACCGCAGAGTCTCTAACGTACGTAACCGCCGCGCCTGTATCGCCCCATAGCACCTGCGTTCTATGTAAGAATAAACAACACGGTAATTCACACAATTGTGCGACCTTTCGTAAACATTCACCCAGCGAGCGTTATAGAATAGTAAGGACAAACAACTTATGTTTGAATTGTCTAAGCGATAGACATTTAGTTGCTAAATGCAATTCTAGTTTCGTGTGTAACAAGTGCGCCAGAAAACATCACACGTTATTTATTACATTTCGAAAACAGCAACATATTTGCGTCAAGTAAATTGGACAAGGAAATTACACCTACTAAAGTCGACGATTCTAGCGGTCGACCCGGTGATGTCGCTCTGTGCTCATTGTCGAATATGGGAACACAGACTCCTTCAACCGTGTTACTGGGTACAGCCCGTATCGTAGTTACGGATTCGCGTGGAAAAGAACAAAGCGTCCGTACATTACTAGACAGCGGATCCCAAAATAGCTTCATAACGCGACAATGTTGTCAGCGCTTAGGATTGCCAATAAATAGGATACCTTCATGTCCCGTAG